ACTTTCCCCCAAACACTCCCACATCTATGGCAAGTCCTGGAGCAAAATGCTCACACACACACACCTCTAGCAGCCTCTGGCTGTGAGTAGTCCAGCAAAATGCTGTTAGCACAATGGCTTCAAGGCAAGAAATCCAATGACGCAAGGAACCAAGGCAATGAGTCCATGAAGCAAAGGAACTAGGCAAGAAATCCAGCAAACTCCAGACATTGGCAACAACACACAAAACTCCACGGATTCAACATTTGTTCCAGAAAAGCTTTCCTCCCCACGGCGTCTCCTTAAGTCTCAGTCCCCAGGTGTGCCTTGTGAAGAAAGGTGAGGCACTCTGTTCCTGAGTTGTCAGGTTGGCCTACACTGCTCCCGCCTCCTCTCCACTTTCTGTGTTCACGGATCAGGAGGGGGCAGACCTTGCTCATTGCCTGAGCTCCATTGCTCCTCATCTCCACTGCCTTCCCCTCTCTCCCCCCCCGCATCTCTCGGTCAGCCTGCCCCCGTTCCTCCTTACTGGCAAGTGTCCCAAGCCCGAGGAACCCGGGGCTGCCTCCTCAACCTCCATTGGCCCAGCTCCACTCATCCTCCTCCATTGACTCAGGCTCCAACAGGGCCATGACAGGTGTGGTGATAAAGGTCCTGGCCTAGAAACTAGGAAACGGTGAGTTTTAGTCTTGTTTTAGGCATGCCTTAGTCCTACCTTAAACATGAAAGCCAACTGGATGTCTATGGTCAGTCACTCTTTCTCTGCCCAATCTACCTCACAGAGGAGTTGTAGGTAAAGGAGGAGAAAGAAAAAGCCTTATGTATGTTCACTACCTTCAATTACTTATGAAGTTGCTGCTGCTGTTTTTGTGTCAAAAGTGCCAAGGTGCTTCCGAGGTGAAAGGGTTAACCAGTGTCATCTATTGCCCAGGGGATGCCCTGTTGGAGACTCCTTAAGGTGCCCATTGAAGTGATACCTATTTATCTACTCACATTAAATTGCACTTTAAAAAGGTAAAGGTTCCCCTCGCAAATATGTGATGGTCGTTCCCGACTCTAGGGGGCAGTGTTAATTCATTTCAAAGCCGAAGAGCCAGCGCTGTCTGAAGACGTCTCCATGGTCATGTCACCGGCATGACTAAATGGCAAAGGTGCACGGAACACTGTTACCTTCCCACCAAAGGTGGTCCCTATTTTTCTTCTTGCATTTTTTACATGCTTTCATACTGCTAGGTTGGCAGTTTAAAATTGCACTTTACAAACTTTCAGATTGCTAGGTGAGCAGGAGCTGGAGCGAATGATGGGAGCTCACCCCATCACATAGCAGTACTCGGCTTTTGAATGTGGGCTTGTAGATTGTCAACCAAGCATTGTAACCACACGAGTCACTGCACTCCTACTTATGAATAGTAAAGGCAGAATAAAAGAATCCAAATTAATGCACTGATATAAAATTATTGTTATACATCAAATAATTTACTTATTTTTTAATATATTGGAATTTTTAATACATATTTTAACTTTTTGTTTATCAATGAAAATTCTGATAGTTGTGAAAGAAAAACATCCATAACACTGTTTTAGGTTCTTGTGGAAGATACAGAATTGAAAGAAAGTATCAAAAGATAATAATGTAATTTTTTCCTTCAGTGCCATAGCTTCACATAAAGAAAAAAAAAATACTCCTTTTATTTGTGCAAGGATGATTAAGTTGAACAATAGTCAGATAAAGCAGTCAAACAATGCCTGTTGGTTTCTTCCCCTTTCTCCTACCTTATTACAGCTTTTTTTGATAAGCAGGTGATTTATATGTGCCTGTTCAATATTTCAAAGTTAATTTCTTTATAGGCATTATAAAACCTACCCTGGCACAGTTAAATCTGTTCTCTATATATTGCTACTTCTACATCCTCCCTTTTTCTAGGAGCAAAATAAGTGCATGAATCAAATCTGGCTGGAAATTTATCAGGCTGGCAGGATGTTGTTTTCATTTATCTTCCTCTACAAGAAGATTCCTAGATGTTGATGAAATTTCTTCTGTCTCACTCTGGTCTTTGGGACACGGAGGTCATCTTCCAGGTCATCCTGGGACAAAATACTTTCAGCCATTCCAAAGCTGCCTATTCAATCTGATTCATCAGCCATTTGCCTCTTTCCCAACTGATTTGTCAGAGTGCTAGAACTATGTCTAGGTGATCATATGACAGAATGGCAGACAGCATTGTACTCAGTTGCTGCATTCTGTCACACAATCAATTGGGGAAGAGAGTTTCGCTATAATAGTACAAAAACAACTCTAGCTGCTCTCATCAGGGTTTGTTGAAGATTTTATCATAATAATGAATCATACATTTTTGGAAATATAGGCAGTAAGTCATGGACTTGCAACTATAGTTGGGACCAGAATTTCTGTTGCTAAGTATGGCAGTTGTTGAGTGAAGCTTGATTTTGCAACTTTTTTTTGCCACAGTATTTAAGCAAATCATTACAATTGTTGAGTGAATCATGCGGTTGTTAATGAATCCAGTGTCCCCCATTGATTTTACTGTCAGAAGCTGGCTGGGAAGGTTTCAAATGGTGATCACATGACTTTGGGGGTACTGCAGCTATGGTAAATACATGCCAGTTGCCAAGCACCTAAATTTTGATCATGTGACTGTGGGGATGACATGACAGTTATAAGTACTTTTTAGTGCTGTTGTAACTTTGGTTGCAACCTAAATGGATATAAGTCAAGGATTTCCTGTAAGCTATGTAGTTAGTTAGTTATTTAGCATATGGCAAAAATGTTAAAAAGCATATCACAATTATATTCTCAATGCACACTTATGAAACTATTTACAAATTCAAAGGCAAATTATTTATATAGTCAATACATGATGGAGTGACATACAGAAAATCTCTGGGGTTCCCTGATAAGCACTCAAAGAGTACTGTCACACAATATGTATGCTTTGGAGCACCACAACTACATTCCAAAGAGGAGATCTTTCCCCATTTATAAAGGTGACTAGCACACACCTGCCATATTGAGTCCCAGTCAGGGGTGGGTTATAATTTTTTTTACTATTGGTTCTGTGGGCGTGGTTTGATGGTCATGTGACAAACAATTCTTTAGGATTTAGCAGAGGTACTTGTCTACCAGGCTTTTAACTACTCGCAGAGCCGTACCGGTCTACCCATTTGTTTTTGGAGCGTCCCGGTCTACCTATTTGTTTTTGGAGTACACTGGTCTACCACCACACTGCCTTTTACTGCTGATCAGCTGTAGGGCGGCCCTTTGAAGCACCACGGCAAGACTTTAAACAGTTTTTTGCTGCTCTGCCACCACCGAGAGAATCGGAAACCACTTTCAGGCAGCTTGGCCTCAACTGCCAATCTACCACCACCAAGCGGTTTACAAGGAGCGGATTGGTTCTAGCCAATCAGTTGGAAGGCTTCTTGGCTTCTCAATTTAAAGCTAAGCTGTCTTGTTTTGTTTTTTTCCTCTTGTTTGTCAAGTGAGCCCTGATTTTTTCCTTCTAGCCGATCAGCTGGGACTCGAGAGGCAGCGAATAGATTGGGGGCGGGGCCAGGCAGAGGTGGTATTTACCGGTTCTCTGAACTACTCAAAATTTCCACTACCAGTTCGCAAGAACCAGGGATAACTGGTAGCAACCCAGCACTGGTCCCAATCCTAGTGAGGATTGACCAGGTGTTATTGGGTAGATTGAATCCTTTTGATTCAACTACAAAGCAGGGAATGTTGTGACACTCTGGATGAGCAATAGAAGACCATTCTTATGTCCAGGCCTAAAGCAAATTGAAATAGTTATCCAGCAAGTTTCTGGCCATCCTAATAGGTGGATGTTTGGATGTCTGCTATGTAGCGATAGATGGGAAGTCAAGAAACACAAGTCCAAAGTTCTACTGAATATACAGGAGAGCAACTTATCCTGAGTTCTCAGACCATATGTGGCTTCTGCAGAGGATGAAAGATATGGAGTATAATTTTGTGATTAGTAAGATCTTATACCATAGTAAAATCTTGATTCCAAGGTTCTAAGAACTCATTTCTTCTATCTCTCTTGCAACAACATCCTGGCCCACCTGAGATGAGCATACAAAGTTTATTGTGACAGCAATCAAAATATGTAATGAAATAATGTATCCTTGATGACCATGCATTTGTTTTTATACTTTATATGTTGATGTATGTAGATCATTTATCATAATAAGAAATGCAAGTATATGTGGCTACTAAAATTCTATAGGCCCCTAAAATTGTCTATAGGCTATTGCAAATTTTAATGTGACAAAAGAGGAATATGATTCAGTGTAATAGAAGTAATTGTATTTGTTATATTTTGGTTTAATTACATTTAAATTTAAATAAGAAGAAATACAATTTGGGCTTTGTTTCAGACACATCTCCTAGTTTGGGAGCAAAACCTCTGGCGCAGCAAGAGATGACCCAATATGAACTATTATATTCCAGAAAACTTTTGATGCCTGTGATGTTGTGTGAGGGATTACGCTCCAGAAATGAATAAATATAGAAAAATAAAAATCTATATTATATTTAATTTTATTTAAATTTAAAGTATAGGCAATATTTTGAAGCCAATGAGAACAATTGCGATTTTTGTAATTAAGTCATGCAAGCTCTTAATTTAAAAGGGGAGCTTTTCCCTCCACAAAATGATTGCTTGGATATAAAATCCCAGTTGATAAAAGAAGGAAATTGGACATTATTTCTTTCATTGCGACTCCTCCATCCTTTTTATTTTCTAAATAGATCTGTAAAATCTATTGTGGGAGCTTTGGAATTTTTGTAAAGAAAACACCAGAAGTCATTGGTGTGCTTTACAGCCTACTAACTACTTGTTTTTCTTTTTAGAATGGGGGAAAATGTCTTGTGGGTGCAAAGGGAGTGATCTGTGGGCATGTTGCTTTTGAGAACCGTGTTGCCTATTCCTTGTGTAGAAAATATTTTATGTTGTTTTCAAATGCAAGTTTGACGTTTTTAATTTTTTTTACAGCATGGAAGTAAAAGTGCAAGTGGAGCATCAAAAGAGAAGAAAGGAGGAGAAGCAACTGAGGTAAATTATGGTGATAAATTATAATAAGATAACAAAATGAGTCATCATTTAACTTTTGGGCATCTGTTATCATTCATGTATAAAGAAATTCTAGATCAGGGGTGTCAAACTTGATTTCATTGAGGGCTGCAAAAGGGTTGCATTTAACCTCAGGGGGCCAGGGTAGGTGTGGCCAGGTCAATGTCATACATTTTGGGGGCGCCTGTGGTGGCCCAAGCACTCTGCCAGTGAAAACGGGCTCCTTAGCTCCATTTTCAGTTGTGATAGCCTCGTGCAACCCTCTGCCAGCGAAAACTGAGCTCAGGAGGGCTGCCCCCGGCCCTCCCAAGCTCCATTTTCACTGGCAGAGGCACCACGGACCAGTCCTTTGCTGTTTCCAGGATGGCCCCACAGGCCAGATCTAAGTACCCTGCAGGCTGGATCTGGCCCCCGGGTGTTGAGTTTGACACCCCTAGAAGGTTAACACATTTCATTAATTGTTATGATTTGGTTATTATCATTATTAGCTATCAGCCATAAACTGGGCTGCTTTAATGAATACAAAGACATGTTAGGCTCATATAAATTCTGAAACACTTATTCTGAATTATTTTCAAATTGCATGAATCCCTATCAAGCAGTATTGGATAGGAGTGGTTAAGTTATAGTACATTACTGTCATTATTATTATCATTTCTGAATTTAACTGAATTTAGTGTCCCTTTTAAGCTTTTTATCAGGAGCCTACAACCTCAGGCTGCAGATTGTAGCTGTAGTTTCCTATAATCCAGAATCTGTCTAAATATTGCTCACATCTTTCTGTTTTTAACAAGACAGAAGTTATTAAACACATGGACAATATACTGCATTGTGTTAACTACACATTAATTCAATTCAATGTAATTTTTGGCTATTTTAAGGAAATTTAGGAGGTTGCACTTTTCTGTGTTGTACATAATGTAATGTATAGTCCAGTGATGGCAAACCTATGGCATGGATGCTGGAAGTGGCACGCAGAGCCATCTCTCCGGGCAGCTGGCACCCATTGCTCTTCTGGGTTCCAGCGCCCAAATGCGCAATGGCCAGCTGGTCTTCATGTGCGCAGGAGTGCTGGAAACTGGAAGAGCAGCTCCCTGGCATGCATGCACGCACTGGGAAGCTGAGCTTCCGGTTTCATGCATGCCAGAAACCGGAAGACCAGCTTTCCGGCACGCATATGCACGCTGGGGAACTACTCTTCCAGTTTATGGTGCTCCTGCACATGTGTACCGGGGAGCTGCTCTTCCAGTTTCCGGGGGTCCCCTGCGCGCATGCGTGCTCCCATTTCGGCACTTGGTGCCAAAAAGGTTCACCAACACTGCTATAATCTGTTTGAGGTGCACCATATGATCCAGATCCATGAACTTTTAAGGTATGGAAGCTGGCTTTGCTGGATGTCTGTACAAATAGGTACAAAGAGGCGAATTCATGAATACAGGTGTAAATGCAGAGGCTTCTGCGTGCACAGGGACTCTCACATGGAAGATTAATAGGGTTCAAATAAGGCCTCATATTTGCCCTTGATTTTCCTGGAGAAGTTCTTTCTATGTGGTTACTAAGTTGGTACCAAGTGGATGGCATACAATCGGTCTATTCTTCAATGTAATAGAGAAAGCTGGATTTCATTTGAACTGTAATGTTGAGCCTTTTGTGATGGATGTGAGGAATTTGAGCTAGCATGGCTAAAGATCAAGTGTTGAGAGTTGGTCTTAACACTTTGAGAAATACAGGTTGCTGTAATCACTTGAGGTAACAGGTATAAACTAAGCACATTTTTAAAAATATACCTGATATCTTGATCATCTTGGTTCCCAATGCATGTCATTTCATTGTTTCTTTATTTGTCAAGGATGTATGGCTGCCTGCGTCACAAACAAGTGACTCTGGGTGGCATAAAACAAGACTAAAAAAATCATTGTTATACAGACCTAATTGCTATCATGGCTGGTCCACACAGTCAGCCAGATGTTTAAAATAGATTTGGCATTTTTATTTAAATCAGTAAACATGGTCCTTGATACTTCAGTCCTTCCATTGGCTTGGTATTGGCAGATGATGTTATTTAATATTTTTTTCCTCAAGTTCTTTCTCTTCTATTCTGCTGGCTTTAGATACTGCAACATCCACTATTCACATTTTTTGTCTTTCCTATCAACAGTTATTAAATTTGGGATTTCATGTATCAGGTGCTTGACTGTTTGAATTCTAAAGTCACAGAGCACAATAATTCTTCATTGTCTGTTACTTTGTATATTTTGTGATCCCTCCAGTTCTTGCTTGTATGAAAATGGTATTTCTTGCAGATACTCCATTGTTGTCACTTTGTCATGCCATTGTTTATTGTCAAATCTGTGTGATCTTGCAGGAACTTACTAGATGGTCCACTGTTTCTTCTGTTTGTTTGCAGAGGGACATTTGCTGTTTCTTGCTGTATTCTCCATTACGGTTTTATATACTTTTGTTCTTTAGGCTTGGTCTTGTGTAGCCAGAATTAGTCCCTCTGTCTCTTTCTTCAACTTTCCTGTTCTTGGTCATTGCCAGGCCTTATTGTTATCTCCTTTGCCTGTTAGAGGGGTGCAGAGGTGGTATTCAGCCAAGGGTGGGTTCTATTTACCTTTACTACTGGTTTGCAACAGGGCTGCTCGCACACACTCTTCTGCACAATTTTGATGACATCAGGGGCGGTGGGCAGAGCTCCCGCTGGTTTTACTACTGCTTCTATAGAACCGATGCGAACCGGAGGCAACCCACCACTGTATTCAGCCGGTTCGGACCGGTTTGCCCGGTTCTGCCCAAAACGGAAATCGCAGGTGGGCCCCGCCACCCACCCTGGCTCAATGCCATCCTATTTAGGCACGTTTTTAAGGCTGGGTGCATGCGCAAAGCGAGCATGTGCACGTGGGGCGAACCAGTAGTAACATAATGTGAAATCCACCACTGGAGGTGTGTGTGTGTGTGTGTGTGTGTGTGTGTGTGTACTGGCCATGTAATACTTTTCTATTTTTCATTTGGTCTTTCTTGTAGGCCAGTTTGGTCTCTTTAATAATCAGTAAGACTTCGTCGTATACTGGCTTCAGTGCATCTTCTTCACTGTCCTTCAGATATTCTTCCAATGCCTGTTTTTCTTCTTCAGCTGTCTGGTGTATTTGCATCATTCCACATACAATGGGATGGCAAGTCATTAAGAAATCTTTGTCATCTATTCTGTTATCTCAAAGTACTGCAGTGTCTTTTTTATTGACAATTATTGAGTTTGGAGTCATATTATTAACTTTAAAAACTACAAAACCCAAGGCTAAAATAAAACAAATATTAGGTGAAGGGTAGATATTAATAATAATGGAGCTGCCTCAGTATTTCACCTGATGGCACAACCAAGTTTTGAGGGACTTCTGGAAGGTCAATAGGGATGGAGCCTCACTACAGTGGGAAAGATGCTCATTAAGGGGCACCTTGGCAAAAAAACAACAACCTGCTGTTTAGGACTTTCCAGATATAGTTCCATAGTTAACAAGTCCCATAACATGCTTTTCCTGTTGGTTCTGGTGGGACAGGCAAATGTAATTGGAGAGTGTCAGTCCCTCAGATAATCAGGTCCCACGCTATGTGGGGTTTCAAAAGTCAAAGCCAGCAACTTGAACTGGACAAATGCAGATTGTGGAGCAGAGGTGTAATGTGATGTTCTGGAAGCATACATTACTTCTTACATTGTTGCAGTTTGCAACAGCTGAAGCCTTCAGATGCACGTCAAGGGAAGTTCCATGTAGAGCACATTACAATGGTCCAACTAGAAGGTTACTAGGGTTTGAGTGGCCATGAGTACAGCCCTTCAATTTAAGAATGGGTGCAACCAGCATATAATAAAATTTTTTGCAAAGGCTCTCTACCCATGAATGTCCCTCCTCTTCAAGCAGGAGTAGTGAGTTTAGGAGACTCCCAAGGCTGTGCATGGGGTCTGTTTGGAGCACTACAATCCCATCCAGCATCAAAGATGGCTAGAACCAGCCGCTGCCAATACCCAAAGCCACTCAGTATTGCCAGAGTTAATTTATATTGTAGGTTAGGTAGTCAAGTTCCAATCCTATTTATAATAATTTATCAAAACAGGGCTTCCTTATTGAGTCAGCCTGAATAGAGTTATGCATTTAAGGTAGCATTCCTAAGCTATCTATCTGGACAATTTGGATAGACAGATAGTCCTCGCTTAGCTATCATCTCATTTAGCAACCATTCACCATTCATAATAGTGATGAAAAAGTAACTTTATTACCAATCCTCACATTTGCAACCTTCACAGATCTGTAAAGCAAAGGAAAGTTGAAGTAAGATCATAAGCATAGTTGTAGTGTTACTTAGCAATTGTTTCGCTTAACAACTGAGTTGTAATTGCTCAACAAGAACTGCCTGTAATCACTGTCTGACTAATCCCTGTAACATAATGAACAATGACAGGTGTTGTTCAAAATGGGTAGTCTCCAATTTATTATGCCACCCAACCATATTTCAAGAGATGGGTTTGATGTAACCTCCATAAGCCTTAGTAGTGAGTCAATTGGTGATATTCAAAGTGTTATGTTCTTGCTTGGGTTTAGGAAGACATACTGATGTTATATTGATATTGTTATCAGAATGGGAATCATTACTAGGCAGCAACTTTGGGCTAAAATCAATTAATTTGCTATCTCTGGACCTGACCAGATTTGCAAGCTGAAGATCAGAATGCACTCTTGGTCAGAATGCACTCTTGGTATAGCAACTTTCTTTTGTCCTCTTTTCTGATCTAGATCCTCATATAGAAGAGTATGAAGCAGATTGTCATTATCACAAACTGAACAAGTTAGAATCGATTTGGGCTGTTTCAGGCTAGAAGGACATTTTGATTTGCTGAGCTATGGGTTGTTTTCTTCTTTGATTTCAGTATTCAGAAGGTTTATAATGATTTTCTGTGGAATTGCTGTTAGATGAGAAGTCCAAAGATATCGGATCAATTAAAGGTTTGGCTGCTGTTTACACTAACAGGTGTGTTTATTTAAATTCATCAGATTGTCTCAGGATTTCTTCTTGTTGATAAAGCTTCAAAAGAGTTAATTAATCCTGTTTCTAAAGTTTCACTAGTGCCAGTTTTTTCTTGTAAAATCTCAATATGAATAGAATTAGAATTAGAATTAGAACAGAACAGAACAGAATAACAGAGTTGGAAGGGACCTTGGAGGTCTTCTGTCCAACCCCCTGCTTAGGCAACAAACCCTACACCACTTCAGACAAATAGTTATCAAACCACTTCTTAAAAACTTCCAATATTGGAGCATTCACAACTTCTGGAAGCAAGTTGTTCCACTGATTAATTGTTCTGTCAGGAAATTTCTCCTTAGTTCTAAGTTGTTCTCTCCTTGATTAGTTTCTATCCATTACTTCTTGTCCTACTCTCAGGTGGAAAATAGCTTCACTTCCTCTTCTTTGTGGCATTGTCTTGTCAAGGATGCTAGAAGTACTTGGATGCTTTTTTTAAAAAAATCATGGCTTGTAGAGGTAAACATGGTCTCTGAAATTGAAATTACAGTTTTTGCAGATATTGTCTAACAGCAAAGCCTGTTGTGAATTCCTTTGCTAATTATTTGACTTGCTTTTTCTCCTTCAGAGATATATTAATGGCAAGGAGAATAAAATAGCAGTCAAAAAGTTTGATTCCTCATGCAAAGTATAGAAGAGTTCTAATAGTTGTTGTTTTTCAATTTCTGTTTCCAAATCCCAGTTGACTATAGCTTTGGGAGGTAGGAATGGAATGGAGAAGATTTATATTATTATTTTTACTTAGTTTTCTTGTCATCATGTAGTCACCCATGTTTGGCTACTTTGTTGGTTTAAGTAGAGTCTTGTTGTGTTTCTTGTTCTTCCTCATTGCTTTGGTGTCACTGTACCATATCAGAAGCCTTTACAAGAAGCCTTTTAGGGACTTGCTGCTGAGATTTAGAATATCTCTTTCAGAGAATTTTAAAATAAAAGTAGATAACAAAATATGTAGTTAAGCTATTTATAAAAATGGATAAAACAAATAAAATATAAGGAGCTAAAGCAGGGAAGCTGCTGCTCTGTTGCCATTAATTCTAAGCAGATTTACTAGTATATATGTTCTATATTACATTTAATGAGATTTACTCATGCCTAAGGAATATTTCCTTAGGCATGAGCAAATCTCATGCCTAATTTTAAGGAATATAGGCTAGGATGCTTGTAAGTACAGATAATCCTCAATTTACAACAGTTCATTTAGTGACTGTTCAAAGTTACGAGACTGAAAAATATGACTTATGACCATTTTTCACAGTTATGACCTTTGCAGCATCCCAATGATCAAGTGATCAAAATTCAGATGCTTGGCAACTGGCTCATTTATGACTTTTGCTGTGTCCCAAGGTCATGAGATCACCTTTTGAGACCTAGTGACAAGCAAAGTCAATGGGGAAGCCAGATTCACTTAACAACCAGGTTACTGATTTATCAACTGCAGTGACTCACTTAACAACTGTGGCAAGAAAGATCATAAAACTCACTTAACAGAAATTTTGGGCTCAGTTGTGGTTGTAAGTTGAGGTCTACTTGTATAGCACTTTAATAATTTCATTCCACGTACTGCTCAGGTTACCTTTGATTAAGATTGGTGAAATGTGACTGCTTCCAGGTTTCCATCATCATTCTTTTATAAAGCTTAGTATGATTATGTGCCTTTTACTAGGTGGAGTCTCACACCAAACTGTAGTTGAACAAATCACAATGATTGCCTTTACACAAGGCCAAATCCAAACCAAATTATAGTAGGAATGATGTGTGGATCCAACCATCTTTGCAGCAGTCTTAACGGTGTGCCTGTGCCTATCCCAAGAAACATAATCTAAATGGCCGTCTCGTTGGAAGGCAGCAAAAAGTGGGAAAGAAATACAAAGACAGGAGTGCTGAATGATGCAGTGAAATTCAGCTTCATTTCATGATAACAGAGAATTGTATTCTGAATTCAAAAGAACAGGAATCTGACCTTTCAGTCAAACTAGCTGACGTTTGTTCTAAAACTTGGTTGATTTTTGAATTGTCCTGGATGTTGGCAATTTACTTGCAACATTATCTGTTCTGCTTTTTTATTAGATAAATAAGAATGTATCACATTTCCTGAAGAATAAGTGATGCTGTAATTTATCCTTTCTGACTTTGTCAGCTCATTGCCTAAAGTTCTTTTTCTTCCTAGCCTACTGGCATAATGGAAGGTATTGTGTTCACCTGCAGGTCCTCAAACATTCAGAGAACAGAATGCATGAATGAGTGTCAATTTACAGTGCTAAGTTATCATCAAAATTGAATAGAATGATATATTTACAATAAAAGTAGATACTACTCTCTTTCCTATTCCACTTTCAGACAGTTTTCACAACTTTCATTTTTCATTCCTTGTTACATTTTTAGTATCAGTTGTACAATGACCAAAATATATACACATAACTTTAAAATAAAGTTTGAATATTTTGGGCATTTTTTAACTTTTCAACTTGTTTTTCCTATTTTGTGCCAATTCTTGTTCCTTGATTTGGAAAGTAAACACTTTGTGGTATGAGCAAGGCATCAATTTAAGTTAGGTCATTTTGGGGGGTCATTTCTAAAAATAAAAAGGCTTATCATTAGCATTATTGTTTTTAAAGAAGTTGGGTCTTTTTTAAAAAAAAGAAACTTTGTAATTTTATAATGCAGTTTAGTCTTCTACTTTTTTAAAATAAAAAACCCCACATCTTTTATTTTGGTATGGTATTTCTAAAACACCAGTTACAAAGTTTTAGTAATGTTTGTTAATATTCTTGGCCTTGGTGTGGCAAATTTTAGAATTAAGCTGTGTTAAATTAAAATAACTATATAATATTGTTATACACAGACACACATAGTTTTATAACAATTTAAAGATGTAAGTTAGAAAAATCTTTAACTTTGTCTTCACTACATTCTGTTCTGATGAGGTGATGGAAGACAAATACCTACAGTTCATAATCGCAAAATAAACCTGTGATTCATCTGTGACAGGAATATGATAGAATATCATAATACGTTCATACATTTTTGCACCCCCAAAATAGCATTGCCTGAGAAATTTCTATTCATGATTCCAAATGAATGCTCCAAGCACTTTTTGGACACTAATTTAATTGCATAAAGATATTGCGTATAGAAGGGCATTTTTATAATGTACTAGGGAAATAAAGTTTGGAAATAGAATTCAGTGTCTCTATTGAAGCATTTCTCCCATTATGTTAAAATGCTAATGTTTAATTGTTTGTTTTTTTTTCTTTACAGAAGAGAACTGTAAATACTAGCAATATTGAATCGCCCAAAAGCCAGACCAGCAGAGTTTCTTCAGTCAATAAGGTAATTTACCTGTTTGTAGATCTATTAATCTTCCCAAAAGCAAAATATCTACCTATCATTTTAAATGCTTATGATGCTGCTACTGTAACAGATCGCTGCTTTTGCAAAGAAGTAGAGAACTTCTGAGGTCATGAAAATTAAGAAAAGTGCAAAATCATTTATTGAAATCTCTAAATTAAACTAGTTAGTAGGATTAATATTGACAGATTCTAAATGCAAGGCTTTAATATTGATGTTTGGCAATAATTTGTAATTTGTAAATGAGGCTTTGTGTTGATCATATTTTCTGTCAGTGTTTACCTTATCTCAAATATATCTTCAAATATTTTAATGTTGTAATCCTCTTGTCTTTTTCCACAAGTTATTTTGGAGTGTTTCTTAAAATTTAAATTATTTTGGTCTAATTTCAGTCTGTAAATATTCTAAGGTTTAATGTTCTGCTTTTCTGCTTTTTAAAATCAATGTATAGTATATTAAGAACTATAGCTAAGTAGATGTAACTCAGATAGTATAATATAATAATTTTTGTTTACCTATTTTATATCAATTGCTTTATAGAAAGTAAGAAAGATGGGTGCTTGGATATATCATTGATCTTTTCTGCCTGTACAATTACAAAAAGCAGAACTCTGAGGTTTTGTGTGACATGATTTCATTTTTGATAGAACAGCAGGAAATATTATAAAGTCAATGAATACATAATACTTATATTTACTTTAACCAGAAATGCTTGGGAACTTTTGTGTTCTGAGACTTAGGTATAGTCAGTTCCAAAATTGCATGTTACCAAACCATGATTTCTCAGTGAAAATGAGCCAAAGTTGAACTCTGAGTTTGCTCTTGTATTACAGAGATCTTATGCTTTCAATTGCCACTATTCACAATTTAATATGCCACTGAAGTCCTAAATAGTGATATATTTAAAAAATAGTTGGACATTCAGGTTATGAAGCTGGTTCAGTTTTGTAGAGAATTGGTAGCAGGCTATTGTTTATCGTTATACTTTACTGCTAGGAAGGTTAAAAGTTGCTTGTAGAAGTTCTGGCTCAGATGCCAAAATAATTTGGCTGGCTCTGATAGTGCTGTGAAGCTTGAATGTCTGCAGAGAGAAGATTAACATTTGCTGCTTGTATTTTGAGACAGTCTACACACAAATCATAATTTATATTGACCATAGATTCTGCATGGTTAGTATGTCAAGCTATTGTAAAGAAAGAAAAAATTCTAATTTCTTCTTGTAGCTCATCTAAACTGAATTAACTATATAGTAGCTAGATTCACATCGCATACCAAACCAAAATAACAACCAAAAAGGCCTACCTACGTACCTACCTACCTACGTATATCTATTTATTATAAAATTTATAGAGTTCCACATGTCACATGATTCTTTGTGTTTTGGCTTAATGCAATGTGTGAAGGTAATTAGAGTCGTTTTTAATAATTTAGTTTTATGTCCAAAAATCATCAGTGTTCGTTAGCATTGTCCAAGCCTAAGAATTTGTTGGGCCAGAAAGAGTACTACAAAAAACATGTTATACATGACTTACTGTTTAATATGTATTTAGTTTTATTGTGTTTCTAAAATGAAATGATCTTATGTGCTCTGGATTAGCATAAATGTCTGATCAAATTCAAAATATCCAGATGTTTTTGTTTAAATATCTATAATATTTGTTTTAAAAGGCACTTAATAATGGTGTATTCTATCTACACTATTTCATCTTACTTTAAATATGAAACAAGGAAGAATCATAGTGGAAAAAACTGCAATATTTTTGAGTTTATTGCTTCTTCCAGTGAATAAAAATTGCTGAGTACTGTTTTGTGCCTTAATAACTGCTATCGGGGTAGAGTGAGGGGGGGGGGCAGAATTGAGGTGTGTATATATAGTGCTTCTCTTGCTGTTAGAAAAACAAACAAGTTGGAAATAATTTATTAATGCTCCCACGTCTACGACTCCTGGTACATTTGGTAATTCTACTATGTCTGAAAATTACAATGGCTTCTATAAATCCTACAAGCTAAGCAATACCAACATCTAGGGATAACTGCAGTCTTTTTGCACTAAAATTACTGATGTGGAGTAAGCATATTTGGCTTAGGAAATGTTTTCTATTTGACTGCATTAATTGTTGGGTTTATTTTTGTCCTGACTCAGTAGCTGCTGTCAACCACGCAGCTTCTTAGCATATTCATAAGGGGGGTGGAGCAGAACGGCTGTAGGCAGAGGGAGTTTGGAAACAGTTCGTTTGGCTTCGTTGTACTATTTTGAAATGCCACAGACTATGTTAAAACTGTAGTCATAGGCAGACCTGATAAGCACTGTAAGAAAAACAAAATTGTGCTAAGGATCTGAGTAGGCTACATCAAAAACTTGGAGCAGAATTGATGAGCTGTATAGTGTGAGTACTCTTTTTCCGGAATGTTTGTGTGATTGTCAATTTTCTGGGCTAGTTCTACCATACTTCCTCCTTTCTTCTCTGAGACTGCACTTGTCTATATTATAGAAACATGATCTTTCAATTTGTAGGTTTGAGACTCATTTAGTAAATGAGTGCTTTTTCCAGGATTTGTAACAGATTGTTAAACTATTGGTTGGGTCTCTCCTTTTCAAGAGTTGCTTGACAGTTTTTTTCCTGAGCCCCCCAGGAAGGATATTATGAAAACAGTGGCTTGAAAGTTCTTTAAAGCAGAACAAGAGCTCTACAGATCTAAATATTATTAGTAATAAATTTATAAGACTTCCACAGAATTCACTTAAAAATTCATTTCTGGTTCTCAATATTTAGACTGCATTTTTTCAGGGTGTGGTCATCTGAGTGGCAGGATATGTTTGTTGAAACATGCCTAAGTAACTATTGCCCTTACAACCCATAGGTAGCATTTATTGCAATGCTATTTGCTGTTGTTCCTTAACAAAACAAATTGTTGCTAAGCTATCTATATCGTATTCTCTATCCCCCTTAATTTAATAAATGTTTATCATTTCATATATTAGGAAATGATTTTGTTTGATTATGAGGTTTGGAGTTAGTTGACCTGAATTGGAATTTAGTCCTGAGAATACTTATGTGGAAATCAATCTATTTAATACAGTGGCATATAGTACTACTTAGATACACATTAAACTGTGATAAGGGTTTTATTGCTATATTTTCCTCAGTTCATTGAATTGAAAATTGTAATTTTAGAAATTTGAGCCCAGGGTTGCCAAGTGAATGGTTTTTATTGAAATAAGATCTTTTAAAGTTTTTGTTATTTGTAACATACATTTATGCTAAACAAGAAAATGCTTTAAAAATAACTTTTAAGGAGGAGTTGTTTTGTTTATCAATTGCAGGCAATTTTATAGAATTATTCCAATGAAAATTCTGTAGAAATGAATGTGAAAGAAGTTGAAAGCAAAATTTCATCAGAGACAGATTTGTGTCTTTTTTCAGATTAAGAATTAAAATTATTTTATTCTAAAATGTTATAGTTAACCATAGGGAACCTATAGCCCTTGAGATATTCCTGAACCACTATACAACTCTAGGTAGGTACTATGACCAATATTGAGTTCTTGCTCCATTGAGAGAATACTAACTTTAATCAAGGCCCAGTTTGAAGGCCAGAATAATGTCCTGAACAACTCAATGATGCACAACTTGGGTTTTTCAGTGGGACCCCACTTTCAAGATTCAGAAAGCATCATGTGACTCTGGAGTTCAGGGTTACTCATTGATGGGGCTTTTTCCTTCAGTTTCATTAGGTACAATTTAGGAATATTTTTAGGATTGTGCAAAATTCTTTTCCTGACTGTATGCGTCAGTGGTAACTTGAGTTGTACTGTTTTGTTCTAGGTTAGTTTAAACCAAAGCCTTATTTAATTAGCATTATTTTCCCAGATCGTATGGCAATTGATAGTTCAATAATATTGCTTCTCTAATTATTTTATTCATGAACTAATAAAGAGAATTGGGTCCACTTACATTGAAGTTGTAAATCTATGTTAAATGCAACAATGAAACCTGTTTGAACACAACACAGTTATGTTGCAAGATTGAGGCACCATTAAATTGTTCCACTGATTCATTGGAATCAGACTATCATTCTCTCTGTACAGTAGTTGAATTAGGTCAACCTTTTGGGCACTGGTTTCGTAGAAAGAGGTTTTTCTGTGGACCAGAGAGGGTCTGGTTTCACGTGCTGCCTGCATCCATCAGATAGAGTGTCACTTGGTTTGTGCAGCCTCTTTTCTGGCATGCCGGAGACCGGTGTGAGTCCACGAACCGGGTGTTGGGGACCTCTGCTATAGATGACAATTTTACTACTCTCCCCTTTTTTTTTCAGACTTTCTCTTGAGGGTTATGGAACTCTAGTATGGTATGGAAAAAGGTGTATATACAATTTTTTTATTAGGGTTTTTTTTTGAATCTCATATTTTCCAGGTTTTTTGAGACTACAAGTTTCAAAATTCCCAACAAGGTTGGATTATAATACCAGCGTGTCTGGATACATTTGTAGGATTCTGTATATTCTTAAAATATGGAATAAGACATCAGTAAGAGATTTTATATTTTAAATAAGTCAACTGTGTATGCTAGTAGAAAAATAAATGAGATATTTAGTTGATATGTAGGACATGAGGTGGAGAAAGCTAGGAAATTGATTCCTGTGATTTCAAATTTCCTTGTAGTGAACATATTCCATGCAAGGAAGATTAATTGGTAAATTTTAAAAATGCAGAATATTAAATCTCTCTTTCTCTGGGCACTGCGGGTTTGATATGGCATAGTGAATAGAGCTTGCAACTCTGTGACACTGCAGGAAAGAGCAACTTAAAAAAAACATACAGGTTTACCTGCTCATGACAAAATGTGTAGTAGAATTGAAAATGAGACTTTGTAAACTCTGGAAACGTTTTCTTAAGGCGGGGGAGAAGAATTTATATAATTTATATTTAGTCCTCACCGTAAATCACAGTAACTATATCAAAGAAGGACTTACAAATCTCA